TGAAGCTTAATTTTTCCTGGAGCTGAGCTTGGATGGCAGGAGCTTAAGCAATGGAAAGTGGGCTTTATTTCCTGCTGCTAGTCTTTCTTTAACTTCTTCCACATATTACCTTCCTGTGCTACAATGGAACCTAAACACTTAACACAGGTCACTTGCTTAATCTGTGTTATTGTTATGTAAGGCTACCAGTAAATTGGGAACCTTACATATCTATCAGCAGATACTGTCTTTTTATCTATGCCGACTTGTAATCCAATTTTGCTTCATTTGTTAGTCAGGTATACAAAGCTTCTCTATCATTCTATAGCAGACAACCTGATGCAGATCTAGGCTCAAGAAAAAACAATGCTTGGTGGAGATTAGTAATGAAATTTGCTGGTTTTGTTTTGCAGTGGTCTGTCTGTCTTCAGGTTTTGATCTGCCCATGGCAAGAACCTGACTAGTCACTCACAGCCATCTCAGTTTCATCTGGGGTCCCCACCAGAGTTCAGAGAAAGGCAATCCAGAATTTGCAACAAGTGTATTTTATTATTAATCAAACAAAAAAGGAAGAGCTAGATTCCATATCACATTGGCAAATGCAAGTAATTTTAGACTTCGCTCCATAGCTGTAGGGGATACGACTAGGAGCAAAGGAAATTTAGGTGGGTGATTAGGAAGGAATTTGACCATGGCAAACATAAAGAAGTAACAGGCAACATAAAGAAGTTGTGGAATCTCTCCCCCTGGAATTTTTCAAGATCAAGTTAGACAGACATAGCTGGAGGCTTAGTAATGGATTTCAAGCCTGAGTAAAGGGCTGGACCTGGTGACCTCATGGAGGTCTTTTAACCCTGCTTTCCCATGACTGCATGGGAAGCCTAGCGCTTGTTGCTCCAACTGGTTTCTTAGGGCTTAGCAAGGGCAACTAAACACGTTCGTGAGGCCTTTAAAGCTGATCTTCCCACTATTCAGTAAGAGCAAGTCTCATCGTTGAGACGAGTGTCACTGCAATTCTTCCACACTAGTCTGCAGCCATTAGCCAGAGACCTAGGAAGTTTCCTCGCTTGTGAACTCTTCCACTGATCCCAAATTGTCTGGAAGTTATGTAGCTATATTTGAATACAGTAACACAAACTAGTTAGCAACTCAAATATCAAGGTAAGGGGGGGGGGGGGGGGGGGGGGGAGAAGAAGAGGAGAGGATGCAAAAAAAGAGTTTCTTTCTTCCCCCCCAACTATTTAATACTCCATCTTTTGGAAACTGAAGCACAAGTTTTTTTGCCAAATAATTATTTTGGGCTGGCAACTGATATTAGGGAAATGCTCCAAAAAAACCCCTCCTGCTATGCCGTAGGAACATTTTAAAAATTGAAGCAACTCTCCACTTCTAATCTTCATTTCTATAATAGTAGTACAGAGACCTACATCCTAGCCATTGTAATGGAACTTGTCCTAATAGGCAATTACCCTAACTTGAACATGGGTATTATTAACATTAAACTTTGAGAAATTATATCCAACTTGCCCAGCACTGGAGCAGTATTACAGCTCATTTAAATGAGTGGGAATCCTTCAACTACGAACTACTGGTAAATATTTAAAAATGCATCAGTGAGTTTATTTTGCCTTTTGTCCTCCCAAGCATGGTTTGCACTGGAGAAGGCTGCAGCAATGCACAGTGGCAGGGAAAATGGAAGGAAAGTGAGGAGCCTTGGGTTTTATACTTTGCCTTCTGCACCCTTGCCTCAACTTTGCCTGAGGCCCATGCTTTTCATCTGTTTAGTCCAGTGGTTCTTACCCTTGGATGACTTGAGACGTCCCTCAAAACTGCCAGCTCTTAGGTGAAAGCAAAAGGGAAAAAAGAAGAGGGGGAGGGGGCAGAGAAAGGAATTCTGCTGCAAAGAACACAGTGACCATAACAAGTCAGAAAGCATTTAAACACTATAGATTCTTATTTGAAGTCTCTGGGGTTCTCCTCCAAATTTTGTTCACATACTTAAGGGTGCCAACTGTGTGGCACCTTTGACAGCAACAAGCTGCTTTTGTTGAGAATCAAGTATTTAAAAAAAGAGTCGTCTTAGAACAGAAAGCCTGCACTTACGGAGGGGAGGTCCTGATTGGAATGGGGACGTAGGCCTCTGGCAGATGTTCAGTTCAAAAGGGATTATGGATCAGATCCCATCATGCCACAACTGTCTCTTACTACACATGGCACGGCAGGAGGCATGACTGTTGGGATCTCAGACCAGATACCAGTTATCCCCTTGGCTGCCAGCCAAGGAGAAGCCCAGGATTGATTAACCAGATAATACTTGATTAAAAGTGTAATGTCTGCTAAGGGCCAGTGTCTCCAAAATCCAAACATTTTGGCTTTAAAAGAGGGCAACATACCTGCTGAGAAGGCAACATGAAGCCAATTAAATATTAATATAATCCTGACATACTACCAATCAAGTAAGCTGCTTTTAGCAGGACCTGGTTGTTCTATTCTTGGTCCGCAAGAGAGGGCCCTCAGGGACCCTTTTACATCTTTACTCCTGCTTGTCCTTCCTTACAGCCCCTGATTCAACTAAAACAAATCTACTTACTGGGTAAGAACAGACCAATAACCATATCAGTGTTAAAGTTCCAGTGCCTACAGCCACACCTGCAGTTACAGAAGCAGAGGACACCAGGTAGCTAGGTTTCCATTTAGAAGCCAGCTGAACATTCATCTTAAATTAGTAAGGTCTGTATACTTTGAAGCTTTATGCAGTTGCTCAGCATATAAAGATATAACATCAAAGTTGCAGAAAGAGGTCAGAAGGCACACTTACTAGAAACCAGGCCTTTTGACCAATGCAGTTTGATATACTATGTAAAATACTGATATACAACCCGTTTAAGAAGTCACTTATTTTACTCTATTACTTTAGAGCTAAGGGGAGGAGCTGGCTGGGAAATAATTCTAGAAGAGCCGCAAGTCTGCAAGAGTCATCTTCTCCAGGTGCCATTTTTTATACAGAAGTTGTACACTTCTAAACTAAACACTGTTCTTTGCCACTGATAGTGTTCAGTCAGAAATATCTTTGCAACAGAATGCAACTATTCTACTTTTCTTTCATGCTAGCTGGAAACCAACTGTATATTCAGAAGTGAACTCTGTCTTTTATTGACTTTGTTCCATTATGAATAAAAAGTGAGCACTTGACAAAAATTAAGGAGCGATTGTATTGAGAACCAAAAGGGGAAAAAGAAGTTACTCCTTGACCTCTGCACAACTCTGAATTTCCCACTGCAGAGACAGGCAGCAGGTTTAAAGAAAGGACTCACTTGAGTGAACTTTAAACACTATCGAAGTCAAGCCTGTTTAAATAAAGGCAAATCAGATGTCTCTCTCCAATGGAGTCCCATCTTCATGAGGAAGAGTGTGCAGTATGTGCATAAGAGATTTAATGCTGTTTGGGAAGTGGGAGAGAAGGGTAAGGCAAAAATCCATGAAGCAACAGGTATGAGTGCCCCATAAAAGCTAAGAACTCCAGGAAAGCTAACTGAACTGAATAAAACACAAAAATTATGCTTAAGTGAATATAGACCCCTTCAAAGTTACTTTAAAAT